CCATCGGGTTAACCGCGGCCCGTAAAGGTGCAACACTCGAAGCCCGCGGGTCACACCTCCTTAATCTGTGAACCGCTTGCTCGGGTCACGGGTCGGCCCGTGGTCCCGGGTCGATCCGGGCCGATTTTCACTGGTCTGGCTGACCCGTCCGTCTTGACACCTCTAGTTTGTAATATTATTTTAAATATTATCACTATTAATTATACTTAAATGTGATATCTTTGGATCTTGAAAGAATTTGTCCACATTTCCAATTAAATCAAAATTGGATTATCGACAAATTCTTCCACCAAAAGAATACATTATTTGACCGTTACACTACAAATTCAGCCACCATTTTTGATCGTTTGTCTCAAAGGTGAGTCCCACTTTCTCAACCAACAGTTTTTTTTTTTCCCTCTACTTTGGAGTTGAAGAATGAGCTCCAAACAAAGGCTAAATTATCAATTGTCCATATCGGAAATATGATTGTCTAGCAATTCCGAAGGAACTAACAAGATATGTATTCATTATTTAAAATTTGAGATAATAAAGGTTTATTTAATTTTTGAAAATGGAGAGGACTTTTCTACAAGTGTCATATAAATTGAACATATGCATTAGTCAACTTGAAATACTGACAAGTTTGCATAATTTTTGAAGGAGGGTGCCCCTAAACTTATCAAAAATCTCGAGAAGTCGGTGTATAGGCCAAAAAATTGTGGTCATCCCTTTCCATCAACCAGGCACTCAAAAGTTCCAAATTTTCAGAAACATTTTCCCGCAGTGCACAATGTTAAATCCAACTATCCAAGTGCTTTATAAGTATACGTGTGAATAAGGGAAAAAGGCTGGCTGAAATCTGCTTCCTACTGTAAATTTTAAACTAAAGAACATAATATTCGATGTAATCTTTTGCTTTCCTTCCCCCTCTCAAGAAAAACATATACAAGACAAGAGACTATCTGCCTTCCTCAGCTCCCAGGCAAATATCTTCATCACACAACAAGAAAGCAGCAGAGCAAACTCGAAACAGAAGAAAATGCAACTCTTCCCAGAGTAACTTCTTCAAACAGGAACTACAAACAGCCCTGGCAAAGGTAGGGTTCACAAAAAGTAATCTGGAGTCTTGCGAGTCGTGTCAGGTTCAATCTGCCGAGGAGCTGGGTCGAATTGGAGGAAATTCTGCTCCATATTCTCCCCGATTTCGAGTATTGCAGCCATGTTCCCACAGCGGTAACAATAGTTTGGAGCACTAAAAACTGTCACCACATTCTTCTCCTACAATATATGATGGGCATAATAATTATAAGTAGAGAAAATGGAACCTTTGGTCCCTAATCCAATGTTCGAGTAGCAAGTTGGTTGGTCAGATACAGTTGCACAATAGACCCCAACGAAAATACTACAAATCTTCGTTAAATCATTACATGCCCTACGTGAAAACATGCTTCACTTATTTGGACCAAGTTGGAAACAAAATGAAGCTTCATAAAGTTGGGTATGTGAGGGGCACGTGATGACTAAATGAAAATTTGGATGTTTCCATCGTTAGAGACTGATTGTGCAACTGTAACGAAAGGTTTTGGACCAACTTGTTAACCGGACAATGGAGGGTGGAGACCAATAATGCAACCTTTGAGCTGAGAAAGAGGAAGAGACTGGTGCATTCAATTGATATAAATTCACAAACCTGACACCAATTGAAGCCCTCCATGACAAGCTGGTGGGCTCTTGAAATCAGAGTGAGGCCATTGGTATGGTTAAACTGAGCAGCTATATCCTGTCCAAAAGTGTAGCCAGCCCCACGTGGTGATATTCCCCATCCACATCGGTCATCAGGATCAGACCAGAGGAGATCGCACATTGGTCCTTCATGTGGAACCTACAATTCACCAACAAGCATATTGATAAGAGAGTTCGTGAACAAAATTATTCAACCCAATTTATCTTGTTCGCCAAAAAATTCATTCCACCAAACTTCTAATGTCAAACCCAAATTCCAGAACAGCTAAAATAGACAAATAGAGAGAACAAAAGCATGACAAGGTTAAGAGCAAACACCAGCTTGAGTAGGCAAGTGATTCCATCTGAATGCAAACATATCTAATGGGAGAGAACGTACTTTTATCAGTTAACAGAAAGCAACTGAAGGCTACAATTGAAGAAGATTAACATTCTAAATCTTCTTTAATTGATCAAACAAGATAGCACTAAAGCTAAGCAGATAAAAGAGAAGAATTCTGCTATTAATTTAACTGAAATTTTAACAGATACCACACACACACACATTAAAAAAAAAAAAAAAAAACCTCAGTGAAAGAAATAGAGTAATTAAAAGATGCAAACTTAGAGCATATTAATCCCAAGGACAACACTTTCATTACCTCTTGTATACGCTCCAAAGCTCGGACATTGTCCAAGGTATCCAGAGATGGTGAAAGACCCCCATGCAAACAGAAGACCTACGAGGAAACAATATATAGGGTCAGAAGTAATCAGGTTAGTCTATTCAAATTATAAGGCATGTAGAGTTATCATCAAAACCTGACTCTCAATTAGTGCTGTCAGGGGTAGATAATCAAAAAGATCGGTGAAATACTTCCACACATTGGCATTGCCATACTTCCTCAAGCACTCATCGTAGAACCCGTAACTGTGGTGCAAATAAGTGAATGAATCTGAATATTAGCAAATCTAAAGACATATATAACTTTAAACTTTATGCGATTGTTTAATTTCAAATATTTATGTCAAACTTCTTTGTCACTACAAGCACAGTGGAGACAGCAATAGGGTCTTACACTTGAGTGATTTGTCGACTTTCATGATTTCCTCTAAGAATAGTGATTCTATCTCTATAACGAACTTTCAGAGCCACTAAAAGTGTGACTGTCTCCACTGAGTAGTACCCACGGTCTGCATTTTAATGTCATTTAGTTGAACAGTATAGTAGTAGTACCATCTATAGCAAGATAAGAAATTTACATGCATAATGATCGGTTTAAATTCCACAGTTTACTATAATGGGAAAGCATGACTCAAACTAGAGAGGTATTGATTACAACACAGAGGAAACCAAAATATAGCAAACCATAAGACACACTTCGTTGGACAATTACGATTTCCAAACAGGCATAAATGAATACATTGTGACAATAATCGACAGCATTTCTGTCGAGACCACCAAACTTATTGGTCAAATTTAAAAAATTTAAAATAAAAAAAAACAAAGGCAAAAAGGTGAAAGGGGAGAAAAAAAAGTATTTTATGACAGAGAAAATAACATTTTCTCATTGGGATAAGGTAATAGAAAAAAAGCATTTATGGCAGCGTATTTCCATAAATCTCTAACCGTTTACAAGAAAAAAAAAGAATCGAAAGCAGCAGCAAATCCTGTTTCTAAGCACATGCAGAAAGAAACACATGTAACTCCACCGATAAAAGTTATGGTTGGCATCCAGACCGTGTATTAGATATTGTAGGGAAATTAAAATGTCTACACAGTCAGAATTTCATATTGTAATAAAGTCAGCTAATGTTCCATCAAAGCATCATCCAAAATGAACTGTGCGCCGCATTCACGAGAATTCATGTCTACATCCATAATTTCCTCAAACACAAATCAACATTCCACCTTATCACGTTCTTTAGAACAACATGTCAGCCACATCATAAATAGACAATTATACATCAGCCATGTCATAAATCGACAAAGTCAGTCGTCATTCCAAAAGCAGGGAATGGCAATAAACATTAACCAAACCTTCCCTCCATAAACAGAACATTATGCTCTGCTGTACCCATATACTTGGTCAATAGATACAGTACATAAACATACAACCATAAATCGCTAAAGCCTATTTTCAGGTCGCGTGCAGATAGCGGATAACTGGAAAACATGGAGCGCTGCAGAACCTGAATAACAAATTCAGGTGCAAAGGGAAACTAAACATATAGCTGCCAAATTATATTTCATTCACATTTTCGCCCAAATTCAAGCAGCAGATCTCAAAAAAACCAATTTAAGCATCCATTTAATACCTGTTCACACAGCTTTAAATGGATAAGTTCCCTTACAACCAAAATCCAAAAGAGGAAGTAGATTATAAATCCAATATTTATCTAAGTAATTAACTCCAGCATCCAGGTCGAGAGTATACAACAAACACAAAACAGGANACCTGTTCACACAGCTTTAAATAGATAAGTTCCCATACCACCAAAATCCAAAAAAGGAAGTAGATTATAAATCCAATATTTATCGAAGTAAATAACTCCAGCATCTAGGTCGAGAGTATACAACAAACACAAAACAGGAAACCTCTTTTTCGCCCAATAATTCAAGGAAAAACTCACCAACATAGTCTCCCATGAAGAGGTAATTGGTGTCTGGAGCGTTGCCGCCTATTCTGAATAGCTCGATCAGATCATAGAACTGGCCATGTATGTCTCCGCAGACAGTAACGGGGCATTTCACCGGCTGCACATTCCATTCCTCCACCAGAATCGCCCGCGCCTGATCGCAGAGAGTTTTCACCTCCACCTCTGACAGCGGCTTGCACTCCATCAATTGCTCTATTTGCCTGTCCAAATCCCCGTGCCCCGGCATTTTCCAATAATTTCTAGAAATTTAAACAAAAAAATTATATCTTTATGCTTTCTAAATTTTTAACACTTCGATCTGATTTTCATTTACTAATTAAATTTAATACAGAAAGTATAAAAACTAATTTTCTAAACTTTTTAGATGAGATCTCAATTTTAACTAAAGTTTCATTCTTTTCCGCTCTTGAGATTCATTTCCATTTGCATAAGAATCAATAGTCACCTATCTCTAAAAATGATTACAAAATTTTATTTCATATATGTTCACATTATACATACACATATACCAAACCGCAAGATCTATATCGGTATGCAGAAATTAAAGAAAGAAATAGTGGGAAATGAAATTAAAGCCTGCAAATCTCTCTATTTCTATATATTTCTCTGTATTTTAACACACAGTTGTGTGTGTTTGTGCGTGAGAGAGTGGGTGTATTTTTGGCCTTAACGATGGAAATTTCTCGCTCGGTGGCTCCGCCGGGTCAAAATAAAAAAGGGTATAGGGACAGGTGGGGAGCTGGTGGCTGCTCCTTTATTGTGAGAAGAACTGCCTTAGCCGACGCATCTGGAGTAAGATTGCGACTTGGTGCATGTAATTAATTGGGCCTTTGGTCAAATGGATCAAACCTTAAATTTGTTTGTGGTCCAAAATTCAGAATTTAATCATTCTTGACTACTACTGTTTTTCTTTTTGAAAGAATTATTCAAATTTTTTTGACAAAAAATAGAAAATTGACTTTTTATTTTACTTCAGTGCTTAAATGGAAGAATTTAAGAAATACAAATGCTTGACCCCTAATTTAGGAAAGAAATTAATTTTTAATTATTACATTCACTTTGTTCGACGGTCTTTATAGTAACTCGTACTTGCCTTCCCTCTCTACACCTATACATACATAGTGGTGTTAAGTAGGTCGAGTCTTGACAACTAAGAAAGGCTTGGGATGGCCTATGCATGGGTCTTGGCTGTCGCAGTTTTTTCGCCATTTAATTATCTTTTGGCAAGTTGGCGCATTGGCTACGGGGGATGATCCTACATAGAGATGGTGGAGATCTCAATGATCGTTTAGTTTTTACGCTTCATTTGCGGCAGAAATGCCAAATTTTTACTAACAAGAAAGACTCAATTTTGACATAACTATGTAACTTCTACCATTGCAATCTCTTGATAAATACCAAGAGAAGTAGCTTTCCTGAACGTAAAATCTGGTTTTAGCTTCAGAGAATTGGCCATGGCAAGTGTGCAGCTTTTAGGCGTATCACCGTGCCCATATGTGAACAGGGTTCAGATAGCTCTTCACTTAAAGTTCATCGAGTATGAGTTCATTCAAGAGAATCCCCATGACCGAAGTGAGCGCATTCTTAAAGCCAATCCTGTTCAAAAGAGAATCCCAGTTCTTATCCATGATGGCCAACCTGTTTGTGAATCCCTTATAATTGTTGAATACATTGATAATGCCTGGAATAATAGTCCCTCCATACTCCCAACCCCCACGACCGTGCCTTAGCCAGGTTCTGGGCAGCCTATATTGACGATAAGGTACAATTTAATTCCCCCTTGTTCTTTAAGTAATTTTCTAGCGTGTTGAACTGTGTAGTATAATCATAGTTCACGTATTCTCTCGAATGTGGATTGACATATCAGCGATGGGCATATCTCCTTTCCAGTTTT